AGGCTGCAAAGAATCCACCAAACTGCCGCCATCGTCACCGCGGACCACTGGTGGATGGTCAGCATCGCCACGCGCTTCTCTTCCGGAAGGAGCTGGTGGATCAGCTGGGCCTGTCGCTGCAGCGGAAGGGAGGACTTCGCGCCCCCGCCCAAGTAGGTGTATCGGAGCTCTTCGTCCGTGTCCTCTGCATTCTTCTCCTTCCGCTCTGGCCTGTGGTGGCTGCCTTCCCAACTCCAGCTTGACCATGATGAGTCTTGTGGCCACCACTGTTGCGCTGGCCATTGGCCCTGATCCCACCATTGGCCATTCCACTGTCCCCACATGGCGGGCCGCAATCTAAGAGAGGATGTGCGAGAGGTGGCGGCTTTTGACCGCTGCAAGCTTGAGCTCGAGCCAGGCCAGGAGCATGGCAAACCTCTTTTCCAACTGCCTTCCCACAAACATTTGGATTTCCTCGTGCTTGATCTTGGGCTGATGTCCCTGTTGTTTGACTGTTTGCCAACTCGGCCGCCCATCAACAAAGTCATCAATACGAAAAAATGTCCTTCAATGGAACTGCTTAGCTGTGACACCCTTGCAAGCGCTGCAAATGATACCGACCCGATCCACAATCCAAGGGCAGCCCCTTGGACAATAAGGGTGGGCATGGGTAAAGTCGACCGAGTTGACGGCAAGCAACCCCACGTGACCGCACAAACCAATTTCAAAGAACACTCATCTTCACTTAGAATTCTCAATCCCAAGAATTCGCAACACCAAAGCACACTGGCATTAAAGGCCGGCTCACTCCCAGAAGAGTCCTGCCTCTTTGCTCTGCTTCTGCCTTGTCTCCTTTCCGACCTGCGGGTGTTGCGGTTTTGGACCACTTTGTGTTGATGACCGACCACTTTGTGTTGATGACCGACTATCTTTCGGGGGCGGCGTTTATTTACTCATCCTGCCAAAGGGGAAGCTCGAATGCCAGAGCACATGTTGACCAAGGGAGCGCCAAAACCCCCCACACAGTTTTGACCCCCCATGCCACTGACCTCACGCGTTTCCTGTCCGCTGGACTCATTCCTCGACGGAGTGCGAGGAACGTGGAGGAACCTTCCAACAAATCCCAGGCATTGGTGAATATAAACGTAAGCTTTGGAGACGTAGGTTTCTCTTGATCTGCTGGTGAGGTGGTTTTGTACTGTGTTGCCTTTTGCTGGTGTGGCGAGGCGGCATATCCGTCAGGGTAAATCAGGGTAAAATGGATTCTTACTGCTGGCGAAGTAGAAGTGCTCTGACAGCACTGACAAATGAGACATGCTGTGACAAATGAGACATGGTGGGGATGGTCCTTGGAGCCGGTGAAAGTATATAGTTGTAACTCAATATGACCCAAGCACTCCGGGAAGATTAACATGGAACCTGATGGCATAGGGACCCCAAAAGGATGACCTGTGTTTTACGATCGGCTTGAACGTGTTGCGTGCCCACGCCCGACCGCACACCAGGTCCCAGCTGGACCCACTATGCCTCCTTCTCTTTGCCTCCTCCTTTTCCTTTCCTTTGCTTCTTTCCAACCTGTCGAGGGAGCTTGCGCGCGTCGAGCGAGCTTGTGCGCAACTTCCCAACCTGCTATACTTATGTACGTGTATGTGTGTGTGCGTGTGTTTTCCGATCGGCTCGAACGTGTTATGTGCCCATGCCCAACACCAGGTCCCAGCTCAACCCTCTGTGCCTCCTTCTCTTTGCCTTCTCCTTTTTCTTTGCTTTGCTTCTTCTTTCCGACCTGTTGATGGCCCATCGTCCCAGTGTCCCATGTTTGCGGGGCCCACCAGAAGACCTGTGAACCGGAAAATTGGTATGGAGCCTCCATTTCTAACGGGGTGGGGGTCTCGTGTTGGGATGACTGCTGTGTTGTGGGGTCGATCCTCGCACAACCCATCGACCCATCGCGCCAACTGTCCCAATGATAAGCACGCCTCAGGATTGGAGGAGCTCCACTCGAGAGACGTGCAGTTCCGCGTCAGGACGTTGAACACGGCCTTCTTTGAGACGCTGTCTTCGAAGTCGATCTGCACCACCGAAGCATCGGTGGATGACACACACACACACACCTCAATTGCGCCCAACGTTGAGGGCTTGTCAGGAATCGCTCCAAAATGGTTTGTCAAGACAAAGTCGGATTTGGGCTTCGATTAGCTGTGCGACTTCTGTTGCTAGCTCCAAAATGGTTTGTCAGGACGGAGTCGGATTTGGGCTTCGATTAGCTGCGCGACTTCTGTTGCTAGTTTTCCGGGTCTGAATGCAGAGTGTGGTGTCCTACATGGCGGGGTTTGGCCCACCAGCATCTCAAGAAGCTATGTTGCGGGCAGCGGCGATGCACCATGTTTCTTTTGTTGTGTGGGGTCCCCCATACGGGTGTACACCTGCCAGCCAGGAGGCAACCCTCAGATCGCTATAGCCACCATGTCTGCCGAGTAGCTTTTCACCTGGCTCCTGGAGCACTCGGCCAGCTCACTCCTTGGAAGGTCACAGGTATGTCTTGCGTGGCCCTTTGATGGGGGACTCGCACAGGGGGCATGGGACCCATACATGGGACCAAACATGTGGGACCCTCGAAGGGGACCTGTCTCGCCAAGCTTCAACGACTGGATCGCTGCCTTGCAATCCTTCGCGGATTCCAGCCGCAGCAGCCATTGAGACGCCGAAACCAAAGCAATCGGCATGAGCACAGCTGTGGCACAGTACTAGGTTTGTCATATACAGAGTTCCGTCCATCAAAACTGACGTGACATAGTCTAACGCAGCTGGGGCATCAACCAAGTATCTGAGTTGTTCTCAACTTTTCCGGGTGAAAACGACCTAAACAACGACCCATCGAGACCATGAACTTGGGGTCGTTGATCGGAAAGCACGACTTGAGGTGCTGTTGGACACAACTCCTCACTGCACTGTTCCGCAGCCTCACCTTGAGTGAGTTTTCCTAGATGTGTTTTTACTGTTTGAAGTGGTCTTTGTGGCTCAATGCGTCAGCAAACCTCGGGCCATTCAGGATCGTTTTGTTGGTCCGGCATTGGCAGGCGCAGTCTCCAGTTGTGGACATGTCGACCGTCAGCAAGTCTAGCAAGGATTCTTGTCTTATGGTGTCAAGGGTCACGGTGGGTCAACATCTGCAAAGGCAAATCCGACCAAAGTGCGCTGCCATGACACAGACCTGAGATCTTAAGCATACGGTATAGTCCTACGTACCCAACTTTACCACAAGAATTGCACCCTTCATGTCCTCTCATGGACCCAGCTGAAGGGCATTGGGATGCGTTCAGACACATAGGCGAGCTTAACCTACTACCACATGGAAGTGTACACATGAGACCCTTTCACAATGACCTCTTAAAAGTGTACGGAAAAAGGTGCTTCAACAAAAGCATGACACCCCTTTTTCCCATAAGTATATCCTTCAAACCATGTTCAATTGGCCCCACCAAAACCAATCATTATTTTCCTGGCTCTCCTTGAATTGTCCTGCTTTTTCCTGGGGGTTCCCAATAAGAGCCTCACCCCCTTTAGCGTTCACCCCTTCTACTTTTTAGTGAAAAGAGGTTGGCATCACTCCAGGTGTCTTGAAGCTCCAAGGATTCAATCAGTTCCCGATCAGTTCTATCTTTGCTAACCGGCGGTTTGCTCCTGGCAACACATGCAATCAACAAAAGTTGTTCTAACTCAAACACTCGCCTCAAAGACCGGTTCTCCACAAGGGGTGCATCATACCAAATTCGAAAAAGACGAGCTCCAAATTGTGGGGGTAGGTCCTACACTGGAACATGCCCATCGCACACAAGCAACATGCCAAATCCAGGCATGCTAAGGAAGCTGCTGAGTTGACCGCAAATCTTTGGTTCCACTCCATGTTTTTCCCTTTCTTGCCTAAAGCCACTGCAGAGTCACTGAAGGCAGTCCACAAGCAAGCTTGCATAGGCTGAGTCTAAGACGACAGAGTGACAGTCGTCAGTCGGATCTGCTCTGAACGTGGAAGTTTCCCCAAATCCAGCTGTCGAATACATGGCCATGTTGATCGGACTTGAAGCCTCTTCGGGCTCGGGCTCCCATAGTGCATGAGCCAGAACGAAGTTTTGTACACCTCATGTAACCAGGTCCATGAATGCACACGCATGCCATGCAAAAGAAACATGTCGGAACATGAACACCAAACAAGGCAAGCTGCCCAACAAACCCCGTGCTGCAGCCACTGCCACCGATAGTATTGGTACAGGAGTGATGCATCTGGCTGTTCTACTCTACAAATCAATACCAACCTCAGCAAGATTGCTGCCTGCTCAGAGAACACCATCTGACCTACTTGAGGAACCTGACTTGGACAAGCTATATTTGCTCATTGACATGAAGTGCACATCAAGCCAATGCAAACAGGCACACAGCAAGCAAGCTAAGGCAAGGTTCCACATCTCCATGCCATGCAACATCATGCCACGTTCATGAGCCCAGCCTGACTCTTTCCAAAGAAAGTGTCTCAGACCCCTTGAGTGATGCCTGCTTGCCATTGAACACCTTCACAACAAGCAAGAAGTGCGCAATTGTTATGCGTGCATGTTTGCAGTCAACATCAATCAACCAAATGCCTTGCATCTCCATGACAGGTATCCAAGAGCTTCAAAGCCAAAAACAGCTGCAACTTTACAAAAACATGCACGCATGCAGGAACAAAAGACTCCAACAAACCAAAAGATCACAGAAGATCTTCATTATGCCTGATTGGGACCAAGATGAACCAAAAGGAAGATTTCCTCAAAAACACCAGGTCTTAGAAACATGTGCTCGAATTGAAGTCCCTCTCGAAAAAGCGCTCGACGCAGCAAAAAGTGTATCAATTGAACACTTGAGCATGTTTTTTTGTATCAAAAGAAGGTCCAGGATATACTTCAGGAATCTTCTGGAACTACTTCGGGATATTAATAGATGTTCACCTCCCAGCCGGGTATAGGTCATCTTTCTTGAGCTCAAGATTCAAGCTGTAGAAGAAACGTGAGCCTTCCTCGAACTGGGGCCAGGGCAAGGTGTGGCCATGCACACTTCCGCACCCCGGGATGCTCATGTTCCCGCCATTGGGGTCCTGGCGTGGGAACGATCCGCATCACGTTCCAACACGTTCCATTTCGATTTCGAGTTCACCATACGTTTGATGAGCCCCAACACCCCGAGGTGGCAAAACATCATCAGCACATAGAGCATGCAGAAGGTTAGAAAATAAGCGTGTCACTTAATCCGTTCAGCGTGGGATGTGCAGCGGTCCTGTCGATATGCAAAGGATGCCCAGTTGCAACTGATGATGTCACTCATGCGATGTGGGGATTGGAAAAGATCAATCGGCTTGATGAGCTCCTGGGTGCTGCACGTAGAAAACAGCGAAACTAAGCCAGGACGCCCAAAAAGAATGTTCACTCGTGGAGGAAGGCAACATGTACAAACATGCTGTGTTTGGACGTTGGCTCATGATGAAAGGCGCCTGTGATCATTCGCATGAACCAGCTGTGTCATTCCCCGTTGGTTCCAAGTCATGTCGCCGCCGAGCGGTCTCGTTCCGTGACGAGTCTCGAGCCAATTGCGGAAGACGAAGGGCAGCTCCGAACCGTGAAAGTCGCCCAGGCCCAACCAACTCACCAAGCCGTAGCCTCGCCGGACGCCATGAGCCGTAGCCCATGTGGGCGCACCGTATGACACGATGGTTTTGCGGGACGCCCAAGAAGTCATTCCGATTCCTTCTTCCAGGGGGGTCAATCGGAGGTCTCCCATGACACTGAGCAGGCTGTATGTAATTCATGTCCTGGGCCCTGGGACAGGTGCCCACCTGCCATAGCTTTCAACAAGAATGCGATTTCCTGCTGGACACAAAGTGGATGGAAACAACGCGTCATATTCTTGAAGGTTTGATATGGTTTGACAAACCTCGGCAAACTAACGCTGAGATCGTGATCACTATGACGGTGACGATGACGACGATGACGATGACGACGATGACGACGAGGACGACGACGATGATGATGATTATTATTACTACTATTAATACTATTGTTATGATGATGATGATGCTGGTGGTGGTGGTGATGATGAGGATGAGTTTGGATCTTTTCAATTAAAGGCTCTCAATAGCTCTTCACATCGGTGTGTTCCCCGAAAGTCTTGCAGAAAGGCGCTTCCTCCACCCACTGATCTTGGTCGCCCATGGTCGCCCCTACTCTGCCCTTCCATGTGGCTTAAAGTACAGATCATTTCACCGTCGCCAGCGAACTGGACGGATCCTGAACAGAAACTCTTCAGACCTCTGAAAAAGCACCAGGGCACTAAAGTCGAAGACATAGACATAGCTGTTGAGCTGGTTTTGGTGCCAGGCAGTGGCTAGGGCGCGCAAGGGGCACATAAACATGAGGTCTCGGATCATGCGTCGAATCAACACGTCGCCATCCGGGAACTCCCAGAGGTTGTAGATCGCCTCCACCTGGATGTGTTTAGAGTCCAAACCAGGACCCACAAGGGATCGTAAATAAGCACCCCTTAACCTCTAAGGGCCTATTGAGGCGGACCCCTTTTGTTTGGGTCCTGCAACAGGGTCAGAAAACAAAAGCAAAAGACGCCGCATGCCTGGGAGACATTCTCGTGGAAGAAGTACTTCAAGGCTTTTTGCAGAGTCTCCTCATCCGGAGGGAGCAGAGTTGTTATTTCTGCATCTGAATTGCATCCCAACCTGCATTGCACTCACACTATGACCCTTGACAAGGGCCGTAAATACCTTTTGCCACATATGCCGGGGGCCATATTCCTCAGGCGGCTCATATGAAATCTCCAACGGCCCTTTGTGGTCCGAGGTGGGTGACCCGAGACCCGCTGTTCTTTCGTCCAAAACCCTTGTCTCCGAAACCGAGATCGCCGAGAACCCGTGCAGCTCCCACGGCCTGATGTCCAACGGAGCCGGTCCGGCTGGAGCACCGGACGCCTTCTCAAGGCTTCCGGTTGATCCAAAGAAACCAAGTCTGTTCTCAAGTTGAACACATCCGGATCAACCTCGAGAGGTTCGTTCTGCCCAACATGGAGCGTAGCCTTGTTTTGTTTGCGAACGAACTAGTGGGAAGGCACACGGCACACTCTGTGCACCTCAAGCCTGAAACACAGCCCACTGATGGGGAAAAAAAACAAGTGCAATCCCTCTGAAGGGTGACCAGGAGTCACATGGAGTCATGGAGTGGGTACTTTTTAGTCCTATCCAGTGAGTGGATGTGACAGGGGCACGCTAGGGCACCTGTACTCCTTCCTTCGTTCGGAACCGGAAGAACCCGTCGAAGCGTGACTCCTGCCGAATCATGGACTATCTCTTAGGACCTTTTAGGAGATCACTCAAGGTTCACAAGCTACCACAGCGCTCTGCACTTCTATCGCCCAGTGTCTGGGTGGCGCTTGACTGGCAGCTCTGTGCCCGGCAGCACCATGGGAAGCATCGGCTCAAAGATGCTGCCACCGTTCTCATTGGAACCCAAGAGCAATGGGACCTGGTTTGGATGCTGCGAAGGCCACGGTTGGCCGTCGGATGCTGGAGGAAGCCGGTTTGGATGCGGAAGCCCCCCGAGCATGGCCGGTCGTGGATTCACTGGAGAAGTTCTGCAAATTTCACCCATCAAGCTGGGGAGGTTCTCCTCTATGCACTGCACACAGCTCACATTCGAATGCAAGACTCACCGCAAGCAAGAACAAGTCCTGCTCAGAGAACGTCGAACATTTTGAAGGAAACCGCAGAATTGGGAATCCAAACATATTCTATGATCCGATGATTCCGATCATCCTGTTTTGAATTACACCTGCGTGGATCCAGCCAAGGTTCGCCAGAAGAGCCAGGATACAGCTGGATTTTCACTACCATGGCCATGGCCCAACATGCTGAGCCCCATCAACCAAAAGGCAGAGAAAACAACTTGAAGAACCTCATCTCCCAAAAAAGAATCCAACCAAACACGCTTGACAGCATCATGACGTCAAACCCTATCTAGCCCGGAACTTCGTTCTCCAACACCCTCCTCCAATCTCCAACCTCCCTCCCAACAATTCCCAAGCCCCTTCCACCTTCCATCTTCCCACTTCCCGCTCCGCCTTGTTGAAGTGTCCCCTCCTTACCAGCTCGATCGGCACATCCAGCAAGCCGCTCTCCGTGCCGTCGATCGCCGGACCGTTCGGCATCAAAGGCCACAGCGGTGAGTGGACGGCGGGCCGTTGCCCATCCAGGCCCGCCTGGTCGGGTCAAACGGCCAAGTGAAGGGATGGTGTTCCGCAAGCATCATGCAACGGGGAAAAAAAAAACTTTAAAAAAAAAAAAATAATAATACACACACCTTGGCCGTGTGTTGCGTTTCTGAAGAGGTTTTAGGCTCTTATAAAGTTATTTGATATAAATGTATATCATATATATCTAACATTCTAGATGGGGATGGTCCAATGGTCTATGAGGGTTTATGGAGCTGAACATGGGCAGTGCTGTCTACCTGTGCATCTCCAACTCTTCCCAGTCCAAGCCTCGACCTCCTTCACATCTTACGACCCGACCCTCCTTCTCGACCCTCAAACCCCAAATCCAACCACGAGGGAAGTCATGGGGTCGTGGCTCCAGGCACCCCCAAAAAACCTCCAAAAACACCACCAGGCAGGAGCTATAGCAGCTATGTACCTGGTGTCGGTCTCTCGGGAGTCCTCAGTACCTGGTGGCGCTTTCGCACCCACGAAGGTGGTAGGGTGAAACCACCTTCGTCTCACGCGAGTCTCGGGTGAGCTCGATCCCCGCCAGGAGTTGAGTTGGGTGGAGTTGAGCTCGCTCGTCCCGCCCAGGGGTGAGTGGATGATGTTGGCATCCCCGAACCGACATGGAACCTGACTCATTGAGTTTCCCTGGAAAACATGAGGTTCTATAGGTTCGCCCTTGTTTAGACACCCCCAAAGGGTTTTGCAGGTGATCCTACTTCCCCAAAACCTCGGACCCTGCCTCCACCTCCACAAGCCGTTCGGCCGGCAAAGCCCTTAGGCCTCAGCCGGCCCACTGGCCCACCGGTGGTCCCGACCAGTCTTTAAAGGTATGAACAGGGGCACCCGGACAACGGACACCCAGCTGACCCATCGATATATAGAAGCTCATGCGGGCAGTACTAGCCAGCCCTATACTGGGGAAAAGGCGAAGCAAATCCCAACAAGGCCTTCGGAAGGTGCAAAAACACACGGAATGTTCGGAGGCGTTGTTTGATGTTGTTTGCTTGGGACTATGCTTATCTCGGTGATGAAGCTGCACCAAGTCCTCCCAGTGGCAGGGAAGCTGCCATACTCCCAAGCTCTTGGGACACTGGAGCCGCTCGGCCAAGTCTTCGTAGTAGGCCTCCAAGCCCAGGTCTAACTCTCGCCAATGTTTCATGGATGTGTCATGGATTCATAGACCGAAACCAGCAACGAAATCAGTCCAAAAACAGCATTGGTAGTCTGAGTGGTTTTGGTTGTGAAGGGGAAAGCACACCCTGAAGCTGTAAAGGGGTTCTTAATCGTGGCACCCGAACGGGGGCTCCTGCTATGCGCTAGTCTGAGTGGGTTTAGAAGTAAATACATGTAAATACCAATCCATTCTGATCTGGACCACCCTGTCTAGGGGTCCCGTCAGAACCCTACTAAGTATAGTGGGCTTGAGGCCTGCCGGGACATGCCGAGACACCCTTTGGACCCCCCGACCGCTCCAGGCCGCTCGTGGCCTTCGCCTGTGGAAGGGGTTGGAAGAAGAAGCTCACATCGCTCGTGCCGCTCTCCATGATCGCTGCTTGGAACAGCCTCAGGGAAAAACAGGGCTGTTCAGCCTCAGGGAAAGAGGTATGAACTGTGTCAGGGACAAAAACAGCTCGCCCTGTAACTAGGCCATTATATGGAGGGGTTTGCAAACACACCAGCTTGGAGTTTGGATTTGCTGTCTAGGAGCCGGGCAAAATACAACACGTTCATACAAATTCATACATCTTCCACAGAAGGATACCAACAGTGATTCACCCGGTTTTTCGGAAAATAAACATCAACCTTAACTCCACAAAACCGTTTAGGAGGCAAACCATCACCGGTCCCAGCTATCTGGTCACTTCCTCACCGGTCACCGGTCACTCCAACCATCCGGCCAGTTCACCACCAAGAATTGTGCCAAAAACTCCTTGACAACATGGTTTACGTGGCTGACTGGTGCTTAGCAGGGAATGAGGAAATGGATCCAATAGAATCTCTATTGGGGGCTCATTCCCTTATTCCCTACTAAGCACCAGTCAGGTGGAGTGCGGTGGAAACACCTGTTTGTATTTCCTATGGCCATCCTTTCGGGGAGGAGTGGAACAGTAAGTACCCCAGGGCCCAAAACTTGTGAGAAGATGGTTGGGGTGGGTGGCAGGGGGTCTAACCACCGAACCTGAGGATATGGTTGGAGCCCTAGGGGTATACATCGTATAATTACTAATTACATCTAATTACAATCCCTGTAAACGAAGCACAGAGTTGCCTTGGCCTCCCTGACGGGAGCTGGGAACACCCCTTCTACACTGAGTCAGTTCACCAAGCAAGGCAATCAACAGATCGGCGCAGATGATCGTCTTCGTGCAAAAGAAACAGGCTGGCGTTCATCCCTGTTCATCCCTGCATCGGAAAAAGGGGAACAATTCCATCCACTGGACCACTTGCACAAGCCATCCACTGGACAAAACGCACCCACAACCCACCGCGGCACAGCCATTCAGAAAAAAAAATGGGTACCCGGTGCCACCGGACGGTGTTCAAACCCAACCGAATGTCCTCCGCTCCCTCCTCTCCGTTCCCGGCGCCGTTCCCGCCGTCCCAAGAACCGATCCAACCAGGCAGCCCTTTGGACTGCGGGCTCACCAAGTGCCACATCACACTGAACGCTCCGGCAGACTCCCCGAAGATGGTCACCCGACGGGGGTCGCCACCAAAGTGCCTGGACAAGCACGAAAGAACGTCGATTTCAGAACGCCACAGCGCTCGAGGGATCCCAAAATGATCTGTAAGAATAACTGGCTGACGAGGAAAGTGCAAGGCAAGCTGAACAAAAATCCAACTTTGATGGACGACGAGTGGGAGCACAAGGGAATGGCAAAGCTCCAAATACCTACCTGGCATCACTGGTCACTGGTTGCCCATTAATGCCCATGAACCAAAGGCAAAGGGGTCTTCCCACAGGTCTTTGCCGGCGTAGCATGCTCAGGGTGTTCAGCATTGGATTGTGCAAGACCTTCCAGACAACCTGTTTACATCTTCGTGTGTCTAGGTGCCCTGTTACCGGTATACCAAAGCTCCAAAAAAGAAGGTTCCCGCAATTTTTAAGCCATTCTTCCTCGCACTGATTCCTTAAAATGCAACCGGGCAGAAGCCAGCGCCTGATATTCTGCTGCACCCACTGGAGTGCCAGTCGTTGATCCTGCACCCCGTGATTCCCTGTAGAACCACCGCCGATGGCCGTTGCCTCAGCCTGCAAAGCGTCCAAGGCCATAAAGCCCAAAGACCAAAGGCGGTAGTTCAGGGTCACCACCAGCACCTGGAATTGAAAGAATCGAAAACACCAACAGCTGGGAAACTCCAAGAATGAACCATGCTGGCAGATGCTGGCTGTTCTTTCAATCTATATAAGTATAATAGTTATAGTATGTCATGAAATTTGAAAGGTCACTATATATGATTTACTGTGATTGTGGTCATTACGGATCAAGGGAACAACAAAATTGACAAGAGGATGTTGAGTGATCTCTGTTTCTGGTGGATGACAGAGAACTGAGCAGTGCCCTCAGAGGGCGTCCCCTGATTCAAGGGCGGGCCATTGCCTTGAACATCCGAAGAACCGTGACTGCGGTGAACACCGTCGCAACACGTATGTCCGACCTGATGCCGTACGCTCACATGATGTCCGTCATAAAGTCCCATCTCATAACTGCTTCCTTCCACGAAGCCACCACCATAAAAGAAGACCAGCACGGGTAAGTCTTTGGCTTCCCGTGGCGCAAAGACGTTCAAGAAGAGGCAATCCTCTTGTCCTTTGGTCTCGGACCCTCCCAGCTGCAAACACGCTGGAGGGATCGTCTCTGCAGGCTTGACGCTTCCGGGACCCCACTGCTCGTCATAGACCTCCGGTGGCCGCCAGCGCCGAACCCCCAGCGGCGGCGCTGCGTAGCGCAGGCCCCACCAGGTGAGACCGTGGTGAAAGAGGTCCTTGGATTTGCTTCAGGAAGCCGACTCTAAAAGATCCCAAAATCATCCCTGCAGCTTCGGGGATTCGCCCAGGAACACCATCATACAGTCATACACCATCAACATCACCGGGTATGGGTCTTATCCTATTCCCTGAGCCCAGTGGATGCATGATGGTTCAGTTGCAGGCCTTGTTCAAAACATCGTGATCCTTGCCTTACCGCTTATTAATTGCAATTCCTGGCACAAACCGACCAAACATCATCTCATAAGCCAACCCAGGGTCGCGGTACACACCACGCACCGGGCCATTGACGGTCTGCACCACCCGTGGATCGCTATCACCTTCGTGATCTTCGCCACGTCCAGCAGGTTGGGCCGTCGAGGTATGGATCAGCCAGGCCACCAGGAACAGTCGCATGGCGGACCGAAAGGTCTGTGAGCTGAAGGTCTGTGATGCAAGCGAGTCATGTGGATGACAGGTCCAGGGTGAGTCAAGTCGAGTGTTTCAAGCCACGCCGTAGGTAATTATATGGAATTATGCAAGGTTCACCTCACAACAGAAGGTGTGTCCTTGAAAAACACTCATGAGACCATAGGAAACCATAGGAAAAACATGGGAAACTCCAGGTTTAAAGGAACTCCATCGGAACCAACACACACATGACTCCATAAGACCTCCTGAGGTTCATGAGGATGGCAGGGGTTGACTCTTCCTGGTTCCGTCCCAGAGGACTGGCAACATGTCCTTCCAGTCGCCGGGAGACCCCAAGAAGTGCCGAGGAAGTCGCAGGTCTCCCTTTCCGGCAGGTGCACCAAGGACGTGGCACCATGTGGCCACCCACCGAGGTGATGTACAAAAACACCACCAAAAAATAACAAACAATCCAAAAGCCCACTCGCTGGAAGCAAGGGATGGCCCATAATTTACACGTCTTCACTCAGACTCTGCGGTTTTGAACGGAGAAGCCACCGACCCAGCCTGCAGCGCTGTTGTTTGAGCCCCAGAGCGACCAAGCCAGGACCTTGGAAGAGAGAGATAGAGAGAGAGAGAGAGCAAGGTAGTGAGGTGAACTGCGGAGATGGCATTTTTGGGCCTCCAGGCTTACTGAGGTCTTTGATGAACTGATTCCTATATAGACAAAATCTATATCATTTCTTCAAGAACGGAACGCTTTTGCAGGTTGAATCTCCTGCCGGCCCTGGACCCTTCGGCCATCGTCCGATCAGCTCAGCCACAAGCACCGCACCGCACCGGTGACGCCAACGCGTCGCAGAGATGCGGAGAACGCGGGGAACGCGGAGCGCCGCCCCATCTTTCCATTCGCGGAGCCGCAGGTTCGGTCGTCAGTCACAGCAGGTTCAAAACTCCATGCTGATTTAATAGGAGACTTGGTGCTTCGCGAATTTTGCACTCCAGTGATCGAGGATCAATATCTTCCAGATCTATCCAAATATTCATCCATCTTCCCTACAAGTGCGAAGTGCAAGTTAAACGAGTACATGTTGAAGATTGACTTGAGGAGGAATGATATGTTTTTGGAATGTGTTTTAGGCATTTTGTGGGTGTTCAATCCTCCTTCAGTGGCTTTGTGGGTATTTTTCAGATCTGCCTCGCAATCCCATCGATCTGATAAGTCCTTCGGCTGCCGCGGTCCCTGCGTCGTTCTGCGCCGGTTCTGCGCATGTCAGGCATGTGAGCGGATCGTTGTGGCTTTTTCTTTTTGCGGGGAGGTGCTCGAAAGCAAACCACTGCGGGACCAAATTTCAGTTTCATGGTGTCTAGGTGAGTGATATACTATATAAATATACGATATATATAAAAATACCTGTGCCATTGATGATTTCAGGAGTGTAATATGCAAAACAAGTAACGCTTGTATAGAAAAAAATACTCCTGAAATCATCATGGAAGTGGAGTGAAACCCACCTGTTAGGACTCGGATTTCATGGTCCTGCGCTTTCATAAAACCCGCTGCACCAGGCTCTTGGGCTCGGGCCACCCATCGCAATGGCTGACGTGAACGGGGGTGCCCCACATGTCACATGTCTGGCATCTGTGCACATGTCTGGCTGTAGCTGTGGCGAAAACATGCCAATCTCAAGGACTCACATGCCAATCTCAAGGACTCACGGCAACAAGGAGAGCCTGCCAACATCTATGGCCCCTGATTTCCCCTTGATTTCGGATCATGTTCAATCGACCAGTTCCAGGTGGTGGCGCCATCCACAAAAACCATGAGGTGGCGCCACGTGAGTTCGGGTCATGGCGACCACCCACGCGACCATGATGAAATCAGGAGCGAACGTTGTTGCCAGGCAGGGCTCAACAACAAAGGCAACCGTCCGCAGACGTTCAAAAGTGAAACCTTGAAACCAAGGAACCAGGTCTCTGCATGATCCACCGGATCAATCTTCCAGAACCCACCCGTTGAGCTGAGATATACCTGGAGTCTCAGTTCGTACCTCGGAAAATGGATACAGTCGTACCTGTTTTTTGATGGGGTCATGTCCCATTTTACTAAGGTACTTGAAGTCGGGTCCTGGCTAGCTGATGTGGCTGTTACTTTCCGAAGTGGCTATAAGTCCCATCTAGATGGACAGTCCCTCGCTAGACAACTCTCCAAGCCTGCTCTTCCTGCTTCGTTGGATCACAGAAGCCAAAAAATAGACATATCACGTGCAAAGTACTAGCTCGCCAAGGCGAAAAGTGGCGACAGCAGTGGCCACAGCAGTGGCCACAGCATGCCACAGCAGGCCAAAGTAATTAGAATCTAAAAGTCAAGTCGCAGCTAAGCTTACGGCAGAAGCACGCAAGCAAGCACAAGTTCACCTGTACAACGGTGACTTTGGGTCTCTACAGCCAAAACAACTCTTGCGAAGTGCTCGAAGCCCTCCGCGATGCCAGCACATGCAAAATGCCCTTAATCACAAATCGTGCATATGGATGCCGTTGAGCCTCCGCTTGCAAGGATGCATGCACTTCAGGTTGATCCGGTTTGTGCCTCCGGAGGTATTGTGAGAGCCGGTCCCTGAGCTTCAATCGCCGAGCCCTCCGGGGACGAGTGAAGTCGATGTCAACATCGTGGGACAGGTGGCAGAATTCACAACGCTCGCTCTTGGCACAGCCATACTCTGAATGGAAGAGGACACAGGCATTGCTACACTGGCACATCCTTGGATTTGCTTAAGGAACCTGGAAAAAGAACTGAAATATATCACTATTAACATGTTCCAAACGGGTATTTACCATTATTTACCCATACGGAACATAGAAAATAACCTGATCCGCAAAACCAGGCATCTCATTGGCTCTCACAGTTGGCATCGTTGAGTGGTGGAACCGCTCACTATGCTCAGATTGTGAGAGCATTTGCTCCAAGTAGATGATGGTCGACATGGAATGGTCCAAATGCGCACAGGACGTTCCACAGGACCCGAATTCGCACCCACTCAGATTTCTATCTCAATTTCTTTTGAGCCAAGTTGAGCGTCGACGTGCTAAGCTGGTCGCCCGGACCTTCCGTTCTTTTCTCCTGCTCGGCTTCTCAGAAGATCTGAGGACATCGAAAGATCGGAGGAAATCGAGAAGATTGGACCGCTCAAGATCGCCACGAAGTCAAGTCGACGCTCTTTCGATCGCCACGCCACGGTTTCGGGGGGTCGAACTGAAAAGCGCCATGAAACTGGTCGCCTTCCGACCTGTGCGGCGATCGGGTCTTGAGGAGCGGACGGTCCACCACGGACGAAGAAAGCGCCGCGCCTGGCATGTCCTGCCGACACCTCGCCGGCTTGGCGTTTGGAAGGACACGTCGCCGGTTTGCGTTTGGAAGGACCCTGATATAGAAGTGCTTTCTTGGCGCTAGGAATATGAACACCATTGATTCATGTGAATGGTAAATCAAGATGTGGCATGTCACATCACATCACATCCAAGAAACTCATAGGTTTTTCCCAAGAAACCGCTACCATATCACCCTGAATTGGTTCAACCCTCACCCTGAATTGGTTCAATCCTGAGAAATGATCTTATAAGGGGTCAAATCATTCTCCGCTGTCAAGTCTTTCAAGATCTCCCAAGCGAGTGGGAGGGGCTGCCCATGGTTCAGGCTCTGGGTCAACACGGTCAACACCCCATGAAAATCCCCAAGGCATCGGTCGATTGTTTGGGTTATTCGGTGAACTTCCCGACCAGGATTGTCAAACATCTACCTTTGGAGGGCCTTGTTATATACAAACAGTTCACATGAAGTGGCCTCACACCCGCAAGAATCGCAAGGATACGTCCAACCGCCTCCAGGTCCTTACGCCAACACCAGCGCTCAGCAGTCGCTTTCTTGCACGCTCACCGCTGCCGACGTCTCCGTAGGGAGACGAGCGGTGCTAGCGACGACCATCGGACGGTGCGGCACGAAGCGAAAGGGGCCGTCCCTCCGTCCGAAGCCGCCCATCCGGCATGCCAGCATGGAAGTGGCAGGCCAGGACCCATGAAGCAGGTTTTTGGTATACGTCATGAAGCTGTCTTCTCAAATGGTGACGCACAAAATGATCTATCTGATTGGGATGATTTGAGCGACGAGTTCTGAGGGGATGATTTGATGTGGTCAGCACGATTCATGTTTACAAGTGTTTTTATTACTCTTCCAATGATGTTCCTTTGCTCCACCAGTCACCGTGCTTGCTCTTTCTGGGCAACTCATTAACAAGCTCCAAGAATCATCCTCACATCAAACACCTTCAACACCAACACCTCCGACCCCCATTCCCCTCCCCAAAAATTCAGAAAAAAGGTAAAAAAACCGTCTGGATGATTCTGGCTCGACACGTCGCTCCGAAGATTCAGAAGACCGCACGTCTCCTTTGGACGTCTCACTCCGTGTCCATCTTCTTCGGATCCAAAGCCGACAAGGTGACCATGGGAGATCCGGCATCCGTCGCACCGTTCTCGTTGGCGGTCGCCCCGGTGGTTCCGCTGGAGACCTAAGCAGCCGGGCGGAGACCTGTCCGCCGGATGGAGGTCGCCATGCTGGTGCTGGATGAATTGGAAGGAACCGGCTGATTTGAATCAGAAAAAAAGGGAAACGACGGGCGACTCTGCCTCTCAAGGCTCACTCTGTGTTCCATTCATTGAGTTGTGAAAACTCGCTCTACTCCTTTACGATTTTACGATGGTGGAAACTCCAAAGGCCCAGAGGCACTTGCCCAGTACCAGAATCGGAGTAGAAACATGGACGCCTTTGGTTTGATAGGAAAAGACGATGTTGTGGCTCCAAACATGGGTCACTCAGGTCCTATAGGATATATGACATATAGACATACGAACGGAAACACACACCTAAAAACTACTAAAAACAAAGTGTTTTCTCTGGATTCTCTGCATTCGACCCAAGCATTGTTTTCATGCGCGATGATCTGTTCGGATTCAAGGATCAACTTGGAAATATTCTCCAGAGATGCTTTCTCCACGTGGCTCAGCTTCTTCCACCAGTTCAGCAGGCTCGTCATGGACTGCACTGCGCTGGTGTACCGCTCCACCTATGCCAAAAAATATGCATCAATGTCCAAAATGCTAAACATTAAAAAAACATGGTGACTATTGGTTCCAAGAATGCCGTTCAGAACTTCCAATGACTCATTTCAGTCCACCTGCTAGTCAATCCATCCACCACTATAACTACCATAGGGCGAGTCATGACTGGATTCTCAAGGAATGCTCTTCAGAACCTCTCTCGCAGGTCTGGCTGGCATACGTAGCTGAAGTCCGGTTTCCTAGACCCAAGTCGGGTCCAGGACTGGAAACTCCTCCGCCCATGTGTGGCTGGACAACTCCTCCGCACTTGGCGACTCCTCCTTGAAAAATACACCTGCCAATTCTGCACCTCCACCCCCAAATAAAACATCACAGATCATAACAGTACGTTTTTTCAACAAAAATAGAAACTCATCAATCGTGTTTTCAAGAAATTATGTTGGACATTTTTTCTCCACTCCTTCAAGCCACATGCGCGAATTATCATGAAATCCGAAGACCAAAACAGGTCGGTGAATGTTCCACGAAACCATGATGAGTTCAGGGAGTATATCTTGAAGTATATCCCACTATACTGGATGATGATGGTTGGGTTGTATTCGATGCTTGCTCCCTCTATCTTCCTCTATACTTTCCTTGACCTCCCTTGACTCCCTTTCTTCTCCCTTGCCTTACTCCCAGCATCCACGAACTCGCTCCAGGTGGTGACCAAAGTGGCGAACGCGGCCACCGAGGCAATGATGATGACCGACTCGAAGCGCGCCAGAATGCTGCACGCCACCGAACAGGCCAAGATCATCAACTTGCAAATGATCTCGTGGCGAGCGTACAAGGGAATCCTCCTGACGTTACAGCAGATTTCGCTGATGTTTGGCAGGGAGACCTTCTTAGTGATGTTGGAGTGGAATTGTGTTTGAGGTGGGTGCCAGGAGGGTCCAAATACATTCTGAGGAGCTACTTGGAGCCCTAGGGATGATATTGATGGATCGTCCCTGAAATCATCATGGTGGACGTGGCTCGGTTTTAACCCACGGCCCCAAAACCCCATGTTTCTTGACTTGGGACCTGTTTCAGGTGGTGAATTGTCCAAACCATGATGATTTCAGCAAGTGCAACAAGTAATTACTGGATATGCAGGGGATGATGATGGTTACTGTAAAGAATAGGTTGGTTCAAGGTCCTTCTCAAGGATTGTGATCATCTTTCACCAATGGTGACTGGTTTACTGGGACATACCCTAGATATCGATCTACCCTCCCCAGGTCTCGAGCGCCACCCCACGCCACCGTGGTGACTTCACCATCACGGGTCCCTTTGTTCAACGCGTTGTCCAAAAGGCACGTGCCCAAGCCCCACGCCTTGGCTGCCCGAAAGTCTGCTTTTTGGTGCTTCTTTTAGTGGTTTCTTGTCTGTCTCTCGCACATGCGGGGAAGTCTTGGTTTCCGAGCAGAACGAAAACCGAGCACTTCAACAGCTTCAGCACTTCACTGAGCCAAGGCTTTTTCCCTTTGGGGAACCCACCGGCCGAGCGCCAGCTTGGCGAGCACTGCACCCACCGAAAACACCTGCCCCGTCTTCTCCTCTTGTAGAAGCTCAAAGCCTTCTCCATCCTAAAAATCACGTAGAGCGCCGGGTGGAGAGGTGAATGATGATCATCAACAGCAGGTGAATCATAATCATCCATCTGCTCCGTGTCAGGTGCTGGGATTTGGCCTGCTTGATGCGCGTGACCATCCGGCCGCAGTAAAAGACAGCGTGTTACGAGTAGCAAAATGTCAAACAATCCGATGAGTTCAGAGGCACAACTCTTGTAGAAATCTGCAACAAAGTGGTCTTTGCACCCAAAAAATTGCCGGAAAGTCCTGCATTCAATAAACATTCCTGGAACCCCTCACAAAGTCAACAAGATTGTTTATTCCAACAGCTCTACCGTGGCCATGTACAGCAGTGGTCTGAGTCTGTGGGTTGCTTGTCAGGAAGTTGTCTTTCCGTCTTTCCTAAAACCAATCCGATTTAAGGTTGTGCCTTTCTTGAGTGGAACTATCAATCAATTATATATACCCTCCACAAGTCCTTGCATATACCTTGAAACTTCCCAAACACTCTCCTTCATCCGGCGCTGTAAATCCAACCAAAGGCACCGTTCCCCACCTCGCCAGGTCCCGCCTTCCTTCGTCCTCCGTCCTCCGTCCTCTTCCCCTCGCACGCCGCCGCCTTCGTCCTTCCCTCCATTCACCGCCCTCTCCCCCGCCTGCATATTGCTGGTGCCGAAAGACGGTCTCCGGAAAGTTCTTCGACAGCGCCGTGCGCTGCAAGTCCGCCGAGGCCAACAAGTGCGAGCCCCACTCCTCGGAACGGGTGCGGTTCGGTGAACCGGTGGAAACCCCACTCAGAGGTCAGGGTGTTTTTGCGGTCTCACAAAAGCAAATCAGAGGCAAATCATCCGGTTTTCCCAGGTTTCTTGATTCAATGCTTGTTGAAGAAAAGAGAATTCTCTGTTTTTTTTATGTTTCTTGAAGAGGCATCCGCAACGTGGCTCGCGTCACCTGTCAGTCCTTTCTACCTTTCTAGCCTCCCGGAAAAAACCCGTGAGCTCAGCTCACCACGTTGCGGGGCTCGCCGCACCCAACGATGCCCAACGTCTCCCCCGGTCTCCAGAAAGAAAAAACAACTTCGAACAGACATGTTTTCTGGCTGAGGATAGGGGTGATTGGCTTCACTTAAGAAAGCATGTGGGAAGGTGAGTTTGGAGAGCAGTGGATCACCCCTATCCTCCATCTCAGCACCTCGTCTGGAGCTGCGCTCTCTCTCTCTCTATCTCCGTCTGTTTCATCCAAATGTTCAATCCAGGTGACCGCAAAACGCACACAGCCCACCCCCCACCGTCATGCCAACCCGCCCAGCCAACTCCCCACGCCCTTTCTGATCGCTATTTCGATATGTGTCGATCTCTTTTTTGCCTTGCCATTTCAATAGGCTGACCCCTGAACACATCCAAAAACGTTCAGCCAACTCCCCTGACCTGCGCGCAACCTCGCCCTTCCAAACGCCCCAAGAGTCGTTGAGCCTCTTACAGAGCACCGTCTCCGGATGTCCGGCCATGCCCTTTCGATGCACTTGGAACTCACCCACTCGCGCTCGATAGGACCAGATGATCGACTCCTAGGAACCCCAGGTCGGCGAGAGCTCGCGCTCGCGCTCGCGGCGAGCGCCAGCGGTCGGACGCGCCCGCGGACGAGGGGAGGAGACGAGTCGGACGCGGACTGGGAGAGGAGCCGAGACTGCGGCACCTTGAGGGAGAAGTATGGGACTGCTGGTCGTTCATGAGACGAAGCCTTTATTCCCTAAAGCTCATGGCCCACCTCCGTTTCGAAGATGGGCCAGGGGTGGGTGGCAGGGGGGTCGAATACCACCGAACCTGAGGAGCCCTAGGGATTGTTCGACATGTTTCAACGGCTTCTGTGCAGGATCATCCGACGTCACGAAAGAACAGATCCAAACACGACCCATGTGACACGACCCATGCAACTGGGACATATCCTGGCTGGGACATATATGCATGTATAGTCTATAGTATATTGAGTTATTAATAATGACATACAATTGGGGGTACGCAATTGAACTTCGGAACACAGACTGGGCAGTCCGACCATGGGCATCCATCTCCAGATGTCTTGAAACAGTCTTCAAACTCTTTCCAGCCCACATGAGGACTGGAAAATCCATGCTGCGCCATTAACAACTTTTCAACCCCCCCAATGTAGGTAAAGTCCACATTCCATGGTCACTGTAACATCTGTAAGGGTTGGGTTCCTCAAATTTAGCCAAACAAAAGAGCTCAAGCTACCCCCTTTTGAGTCTGAGCACCAATCAGGGATAGGTAAATAGATGTATAAATAGGCTGGCCAGATTTGTCTGGGAATGTCTGGGATACTTAAGAAGTAACTTCAATCATGGGAGTTGTTGCTTTCTTCGGTCGACTGCTTTCTTCTGTCTACCTACCAGAGTGGTAGATGGACTCAGTGGCCCAGTGAAGCCTGCAATATCGATCGAAATTGAAAACACAACAAAAAACACTGGAAGAGCACCACCATCCAAACACCAAAGTCAGAGTGTTGCTTCGCTTCTGACTTAATAATATAATTGTCCAAAATCATATTCCTCCAGGGTTCCATGATATGTAGATGTTGAACATGGATCATGGAATCATGGAACATCTTGTTGGTTAAACATGTGTCCAGTGGTTGTTCCATAGTCCATGATGTGTCCATGATTCCTTCATCCAACAGAACAGCTGCTCGTCTCTCCGAGTGTCCAGCGAGGACGCTGCCGCCCGCAGCGCGCGCCAGCGGGGCTTCGGGCGGAACATGCCCTCGATCGACAGCGTGGCGCTACTGAGCAGCGCCAGGAGGAAGAGAAGATCTGCAGAACTCATCCAGCTGACCTGGCAGGGAATGATGTCTGCCGGTTTCCGTAGAGGTCTGGGTAGAGGGTCTGGTGGTGTTGCCCAAATCGTCCAAGAGCAGACTGATGAACTCTGGGAGGGTTAGAAAGTTCATGCGGAATTCAATCAGTATCATTCAGTATCTATATAGATTGCTCAGCTTTTTTGGGGCCAACTCCCGCTCCTGGTTGCTCACATTTTGTGTCCATTCATGCCCGAACCTGGAGGTCCACATGTGTAAAGATCAGAAGTGAAGACGCAAGAAGCAATTGCACCATGTACAAAAACTTTGTGGCGATCTTATATCTCCTGGCCAGGTGGCATGCCACATCATGATCGCGCCAAGCATGTTGGAGCAACAACAAGCCTTCCAGGCTGTTTTCCGTTGGAAGTCTATCAGCTTGCACTAGCTGGTTCATCATCCGCTTGGCGTCCAGAAGCTCATGGATATTGATCGCATGGAAATGCGGACACAGCAGCAAGGCTCTTACGCATGAGGCCACATGTGAGGTCATTCTCCGCCGTTCCTCGTCGTAGTCTTCGTGCTCCGAATTTAAGTTCTTGCAGGTGTCCGCAACGATGCGCGCCGCCAACTTCTCGGCCATCCCTAAGACGCGCTCCTGTTGGTTCACATCCACTCCTGTCTCCTGGCTGTTGTCCATGCGCATCTTCTGTGCATGAGCGACTGCTTCATGTAGAGGGACCGAGTTAATGCGAGGTCCGAAATGGTGGCTTCCTCCACCCAGCAGAGTATGGAGGAAAGCCACACTGCAAACGTCAAAGGATTCACAGATCTTCTTCTCCAACAGCTTCTCACAGTAATCCTGTCAGATTGAATGTCACCACCATCGCCGCCACTAACTGTTTTCCTGTTCAGCACCCTTCAAACAGCAAACAAGTACTGCAACTAAACTTTACTGTAATGGTGCTCTAGAATAAAGGACTTCCATGATCTGAAACCTGTTGATCTGCTTGAGACTCAGCTTCGCCTCCGCCACATCCTCCCGTCCTCGTGGTCTTTCCACCCAGCCAGGAGCCTTCTCTCACCGTCTTCCGGTCCCACCTGTCCACCGCCGCCACGGTCGAAGGCCTTGCGCACGGTCTTCACCAACTTCCGCAGCCTGCGAAGATGGAGAGGGAGATGGGGAGGTGGTGAGGTGGGGAGGTGGGGGCGGGTTGACCGATAGATCCTGACTGGGGAGGTGTGGCTGACAGTGGAAATGCTCTAGCACAACCCTTGGTGGGACATTTTACGTTGGTTTGGTTAGGTCACCTCTTCACAGTCACTGTGAGTTCATCAGGTCATAAGGTCGGTCATTAGGGTTTAGGATGCTTTAGGAATGTTTGCTTCGGTTGTTGGGACGTCAGACGCATACCAATGTGCCAGAAAACCATGAAAATCCGCAAAAAACGGGAGATCAACATCCTTTTTGTCGCAGCCCGAAGTCTTCCAAAGAGTCCCCACTTAGCCTCCCCACTTAGCCTCCCCTCCACTTCATTCGCTCCAGCCTCTGAGGTTTCACCAGGCCGCCCACCACCTCAGCAGCTGGCAGCGGCCGCTGGGGCGGTGCCCGCTTCCGCAGGTCCAAGAAGACGAGCTCTGCGCCGGCGAAGGCTTGCTGCAGGGCGTAGTGCATCGACAAATCCGAGGATTCCTCCACCAGGTGGATGGACTGCAAGTCCACGTGGACTGGAGTGGATTGCTGAGAGCCCGACCTCTTCCTCTTCTCCCACCTTTTTGGAGGTCTTATATAATCCGATTTGATCCAAACATCTTGTCGGTTTTGGAGGTTTAATCCATTGATTTTATTCAAAAGACCTGGTGGATCCCGAAGTGTTCAGATCTTTGCCGAATCTGAACGTGAGCGAACCGGCTGACCATGGCCGGTGTGGAAGCGATCTCCAACCGGTTGACCTACCTGGAAGGTCGGGTCGTTCGCGGCAAATGGGGCGAACATGGTACTCTTGACCCATCTCCATGTAAGAACTCCCAGTGGTGAGTGAGTCCATGAGTCTTACTCCATCTCCTTCATTGCGCAAATGGCTGTCCTCCCCCAATTCTCCCTCACCTCCTTCAAGCTCCACGCCGTTTTGATGGCCACGGAGGACAAGCTGGTGGACAAATATCCCACGAGCTCGGTGCGGAAGATCTGCATGGGCGTGTTATCGAAGGAGTCAGCCGAGGGGCCCAGTGCACCCTGGCAGAGTCCATCGCCCAGCAGCAAGAACCTGATGAAATCAGGACACAGTATATAGACCCTTGGATCTTCTGGGCAAGCTACAGATGAAGCAGGATGAAGCCAACAAGCGCTTGTGCTTCTTCAGGTCCACAAGCAGAATAAGAATCAGGAGGAACATAGACCGGAGAGGGTGGTTCTTGCAGCCGAGTAACCGTGCAGTGGGATCCAAATCATATCTTCCTCCAGTTGCACAGTTGAGTTTAAAATGCACACTGAAACATCTGAAACAGGCTGCGTACCTATTAAATGTGTACCCTCCGACTCACTAACATGGAAGGAGAAAAACCTCCTGTTTGTAGAGGAACATGATCAGATCTTCCCAGTGGCCATGGAAACGTCCACGCTCAAGTCGCTTGCTCTCGCCCCCCACCCTCGAGCTGGTCTCTCGAGCCGGTCGAATAAAGAAAGGTGTGGCAAAAGACACACACTCTGACGAACACATCACATGGACGTGGAGTGGTTGACCCCTGTTCATAGAGCGAAATCCTATTTGGCCATCCACTTCCATGTGGCTGTGGGTCAGAGTGGTGAACACCTGTGGCTGTGGAAGCGTCTAGAACCGGCATGCTCAGGCTCATGCTTGATGGCTTCTCTCATTCGATCATCACGCCTTCGCCAGACACTGGATTTCTGACAGACCTTCTTCCAGTAGGCGTTCTTATCCTCATTGAAATACACTGAATGTGCATGTGAAGAGATGTTGAGGATGGTGAAAGGAGGCTTGTTGCCCCACTTGGTTTGCTGCAGAGCATACGCGCGTGACAGGGCACCGGCCAATGCACAGGTTCCAGGAAAGGCATTCGTAACGATCACAGCGTTGGTGGCCGCAGCAAGTGGCAGGATTACATCACCCATAAACATATCCAGCTGTTCCATTGCCTGGAGCACATACACTTGCTTGGACAAAAAGAACTGTCACAGAATCCACAGAACTGTCACAGAACAAATCAATCGGAATAATGCCTTGCACTCCTCTTCTTCGTTCAAGAAAGCGGGCTGATTGTGGAAGAGACCAGAGGACCAACTTTGGTTGTATTCCTCCTGCACTCTCGTTACGTCCGGGCCCCTTTCTGGAGTCCGACGAGTTCAACTGCGTCCGTTTTTTGTCCGGAGCGACGGAAGCAGTGCGTCTGTTCCACGTGGAGCGACGGTTCGAGATTTACTTGCTGCATGACTTGGTGTTCGTTTCCGTAGTTTCGGAATCAGATGTTGAAACGTCTGGAAACCAAGGAATAAACATCGTCGTCTCGATCGTTCACATGATCAAACAGTTTGGGCTCGAAGTTTCCAGTTTGTTTGCCAACCAGTTGGGGCAGCGCAAACAGTTTGCGGAAAGCGATGGCATCTTCCAGCCAACAACACTCGCGTTGTCTGCAACGTTTCGGGCGTCCTTCGGCAATAAATTCAAGGATCGTCGAAAGCCCCAGGAGGTCAGTAGGTTCAACACCAGCTTAGGCTTTGGTACCTGAAACGTGCCAAAGAAAACCCGCGTGAGGAACAACTGGACCAATCTGGACCATACATTGGGTATATCCCGTTACTGGATAGATGATGAATTCTTAGGTGGCAGGCCTTTCCCAAGAAAATTGTGATAATATGTTACCGTTATTTTGGACCACACCCTAACCATACATCACAACCCACAAAACAAGGCATCCAGGATCCAGTTGTCCAGGAGTGGGGAAAAGGGCTCCTTGACATACAATTAAGCATTGAAGTCTTGCACCCGAAAAACGAAGCATGACAAGTCGATGATAAGCAAACAAAGAAGCACCTTCCTGTCGGGGTCACCAATGGAAGCTCCTACACTACTTATACTTATAATAGATCTCCATTGGACACCAATTAGAAGGTTCGGGGACCTTTTCGCTTGTTTGTCACTCAGTGTGACAGAGAAACGTGACAATGAATGTTGCAAAATGCAAACAGAGCTGGATGACTTTGCAGCGACTGGGTATGGATGACTTAGCAGCGACTTCTTCCTTTTTCACCAGCTCGTGGTGAAAAACAGCACCCGCCTGTGAAAACCCGAAACCGCGCCTCTAAAGCATCGAGCAACTTCTTCAGCAGATTGGTATCATGGGCAATCTCTCGCGCCTGCATATTGGATAAGAAGACCAGCTTCACCGGGCCGTTGCCAACATCAATCCTATGAGCAAGCGGCGTGTCTGGAAAACACGGTTCTGGATTCACAGGGTCCAGGGTTCTGGACCCAGCAAACAGCAAAACACAGCAAACCAATGGGAAAGCAAAGAAGGACATTTGTAATTTTAGGGCTCTTACTGCCACCAGTTGCTGATAGAGTCTTGATTGTTGTCTATTGTAACGTTTCTTGGGCGATAGGAAAGGATCATGCACCACGTAGGAGGTAATTCAACACGCACTGAGGGAATGAACGTGTGAAATAGAGCGATATTATCTGATAGAACAACACATGCTGGAAGACCGTTTCATCAATTTGAAGGCTCCAACAAGTACCTGAAGATCGCTGCCAGGAATCTCTTCGACCATCTCATACATGGTCTTTGCTTTCATCAAATGCCATTTGTCACTGTCAGCCAGAAATTCAGCGGTGATCTTGCTGGTCGTCGCAGTGCTGGTGTTGCTCTGCATGCTTTGCATGCTGCCTTTGGTCACAAACCTTCGCCGAACCGACGCAGAATGAAGCGAGGAAAACTGATCCATGCGCTCGTGCGCGTCGTCGGAAAGCTTGAGCCATGTGGCTCTTAGCCAAACGGGTGGAACTCGCTCGAAACCGCAAAAGCTCCAGAAACACCAACCCCAGCTTTGCAGTTGCTCTTGGTCTACCTTGGGTACATCCTGATCCCTGTAACAATGGATGATGATATATGATGATGGTTGGTGAAGTCCTTTCTTTAACATATTGATCATTGTTTACCGACTGTTACAGGTAATAGGACACCCCCAAGGTCTACCCAGAGAGAGTGTCAGCCTCCTTTATTGACCAAGAGTGTCGGCTTCCTTCATTCCAAATCAACTTTCAAAACATCCCGTTGCTTCATTGGAGGGGGTGCTGTGGTCTCATGTGAGGTGCAAAAGCATCTCAAGTGGGGTGCCAAACGAAAGGGGACTTTATAGTAGGTCTCACAAAATAATGTGTTTAAAGTCTCCAACTCGGCCTTCGACTCGCCAGCGATTTCGGCACCATATCTGCAGTCAGGCCGACTCCACTTCAGGAATACACCGATCCCAACAAGGCATGGAGTAGACCTGTTGTTCAGTGCCAACTAATGTTGACTGTTGATTAAGAAAACCTGCAGAATGGTTTCAGAACTTCACAACTCAGTATGGGTGGCTTTCTTCATCGACAGTCAACATCAATGTAGACTCTTGATTTACAACAACACGTCCATTTGGATTGAGGAACCTCTGCATATATGGGTGGCAGTGGTTTTGTTAATCGACAGTCAACATGATGTTAACAATCCATCAAACACTCCTTAAACTGATAAAGAGACCAAATCAATGGGCAATCCTCCAGTGTCTCTCCGAAGTAGGACTCCGTGGAACCTCTTCTTTCGTGATGAAACAACACCACAATGACTGAAACCAATGAAACAAACAACGGAAATCCTGGATCCTCCAACCATTTATGTCTATCCAACCATCACTACATGAAACCAATGAAAAACCCCTGTAGTCTGAAGTGGCAATCCCAGTGAAAAAAGAAAACGACCACACGATCCCGAGACCCTGAGAATTCACAGTTGTTCGCGTGGTCGGAACCGACCATGTTCTGCAGTCGAAATACCAACCCAGTGTTAGGATGTGGGTTTCAGAACCAGGACGTATGAGACTTTCACCACAGATGCACACCTGCTCCTCTCGTCTGGTCGACGGACCAGGCCGACCAGGCCGACATCCGCACGCCACGCCTGGTCAGGGCCATGCCAAGCGCGACTGGGAAAAGCCTGCGGCAGTTCCAGGGGACTCCGTCTGTACATGACTGATGCGAGCAGATGGCACAAGTTCCAAGGTCATATGGCTGCGTTTGAATTCCCGATGTCAACCAGAAGGGCGCGTGAACAGGTGCGTGAAGAGGGCTGAAGGAAAGTAATCTTGGACCAAATTCTGCAGAGCCTGGAAAAAGTCAAGTAAGTGTTCTTCCACCACTACCATGTCTTGTTGCGGCCGATATGACAAGTGTTCTTGAAACACTATATATGTACCAAGGCCCTCCAGTTCTTACCAGCTAAAAGGACATGAACCAAAAAAACGATAAGTCTTCCGATCGATCTGTGTGGGAACACCTTGAAGATCTGGAGGCTAAACTTCAATTCCACGGATTCGATTTGTGGCTGTCAGGAGCCCCAACAGTTAAGGGAATTCACCCAGGTCGGAAACCTCAAAAGAATCCCCAAAAGGCGCAAAAGTCATGCAAAACGGACTTTTCAATTCTGACATGCTGTGACTCTGGGACTTGTCTCCTCTCACATGTCATGACTGACGAAAGCGGACGAAAGGTGCCGCACTCCCTTTTGACCGCCTGTCGGCATCCACCGTCGTTTTGTTGGCTCGGCTGACCCTTATGTAGTGTCTGTTTTGGTGCCTGTGCTGCCGGTACGATTTTCAGGGTTTTCGAGTTTCTTCCAAGGGAACTTCTCCAACTTTCGCACCACCGGCACGTTGTAGACTTCCCTCAACTCATCTTCAGCTTCCTGCGTCACCTGCCAGAAACTGGCAAACACAAACGACGCTACCCCCGAGAAAACATTGGGCCTGGGTGGTGTGCGGGAAGCATCGCCATTACCAAAAAAAACAATCCCCTGTTGATTCAACCAAGTCTGTGACTTGTAGAATACCACGTTCATCCACGTTCGCACCTGGTTGCAAAGCATCACAAAGTGGCTGAAGCACGTCTTCCTTCGATCCTCAAACAGCTTGTCGCCCATGGTCAATGCTTCGGTGTTCTTTTCATCATCGGGATCCGGTGCGAACTCCTCCGTCAGCGACCAATATGCAAAGACCAGGCGCCGCAAACGACCGTGATAGTCCAGCAGCGCCGAGGAACGATTTTTGGGTGCCACTTGGCATACCTGACATGATGGCACATGGTGAAAGGAACCTGGTGAAACCAAGCATGTAAGAACCTGCACCAGGTCAGAACCTGTCATGCCTGACATGTCTGACATTGAAGTAAGAACCTGGTGAAATCCACCATCAAATACCATCAACATGATCTGCACCTCTGCCGGGCAGCTTTTTTGCTTTGCTGTGGGTGATGCAACAAAAAAAAGGAGATCCAAACATAAACAAAAAAAATCCACAAACTGGTTGATTCCGGTCAGATGCTGTGGTCACAAAGGACAGCAGAATGGCGACGATTTCCAATTGGGGTCAGGGCCGCTGCGGCCATCTCAATCAACTTCCAAGTGCCACTCACCCGCTGTTCTGCGATACCCGCCACCTGGAGTGTGCGAGATTTGTTCATGACACTCCGCAGCTGCTTGAGCTGTGCGCCTTCCAGAGGCTTCCAGCTCTCCTTCAAGTTCTCCCCGCTGGAGCCCGGATCAGTAGAGACCCCGTCCAATCCCGGCACCCGCCGTAAGCATGGGAGACAGTGGGAACAAATGTCCACGATCCACGACACGGGGCTAGGAGGTCCTGGTACAGGGTCGTTCACGCACGCGAGGGGATCCTTGACGTTCATGGCGATGTGATTCGCGAAGAAGCGGATTAGGTGCGCCACGATCATGTAGGTCAGCACGGAAATTACAAATGCCTCAAAGATCCTGATGGGAGGTGTGATGGAGTACGAAAACAACAGTATATAGTTTATAATTTGGAAGTGCATCATGTTTATACCCCAAAAATATGCCAAAATATGCAGAACGGCCAACATGTCCAAACAAGGAGATTCCAAAAGTCCAGCAGAACGAACAAGGAAGAGAACGGGTGTGTGAAAGCTGCAGCCAAACAACACCGCGAAACGACAATCGTTGGTCCAACATCCCCGGTTTCGCGGATTGGTCGTTTCGCGGGTTTCGCGGGTTTCGTCTGCCCAAATACCGTCAGACGGGTCGGTGTAAGTGATCGCCGTTGGGTTGGGAGTGAGTTGAGCTGACAGAAGTGCTTCAAGGCAAACATACTGACAGGTGATTGAAAGAGCAAAAGGCAGACATATCCAAGCAAACCATAGGAGACCTAATTTAGAGTCCACACGAAATATCCAAAAAACCTCCTCTTTGGCAACCACTCACGTTCAGGGTAACGCGGAACCAACAGCCCGGTGTCTAACGCTGCCCAAAGACAGGACGCTCTCAGGGTGTACGTTAAAGAGCTCGCTGAGCCAGAAAGGCTGACCGGCTCCACGGACAAGCACTTCCATGACCACCTCATACAATTCAGCGGCCCGCGGCCCTCAAACTGACTCAAACCGGAAAAATACTAGGTGACTAGGTGTTTGATGGTTTGTGGTGCCCCCTGGTATTGTTCTACATCTGAAGTTGCTCTCGGATGCTCACTGCATCGGTGCAGCCGCTTCGCTTTCTGCCCCGAAGAACGTGGTGGTGCCGCTTCGGTGTGTTTTTGGTCGAACGTCGACACGTTGGTCGCGGGCAGGTCGACACGTTGACATCGGGGAAAAGCACATGGAAGAATCATGGCAAACATAGGGAGATGCATTTAATTCTCCCGTGCCAAGTGAGAAGTGAAGCAAACAAGCGAACGAAGCAAGATCTTTGTCCACCCCAAAATCTCAAAGTGAACAGAACGAACTCATACTGCATACTTGCACGGCCTTCCCCAAAAGAAGTGCAGCTAACTTTTGCCAGTACAGATAGTACAGTAGCTCTATCCAAACAACTTTGCTTCTTCCCTTGCTGTATGCACCTGCCCAGGCACCCTCAACCCCTTCACCAAACTACCTGGTGCGAAGACGAAGAAAACATAGTAGAACAAGGAACGACCGGAACGACCTCTTTCGCCTAGTTGAGGACCAAACCGCGCTTCCGCTTTTCAACCCACCTCTTGAGAGATCCCGAAACCAAACGTCGTCGGGAACACCGACACCGCCCGCACGCTCATTCCAAGCAACTGGTGTGCACTCGCGATGACTCTTCATCTCATGGATGAGGCCTGTAAGCTGAAAGTCGGATTCTGTGTCATTGGTCTTCATGCCCATCACCAGCCTCACTGAAATCGTTGGAGAATGACATGAACCGACCGCGTGGCACCAAAGATTCAAGACCCAGGGCTAGAGGGCCGCCGGACTCAATTGATCTTGTTGAGTACGGATAGATGCGGAATTGAACAGCTGGTTTGGTAAAGCGTGTCTACCCGCCAACAAAAGGAGCAAGCAGAATATGTTCGGACGGGAAAAAAGGAACAATCTGCTTAACGTGGGCTGGTAACAATATTGTTTTGCAAATGTTTCTACAGGTTGCTGCAAACATGAACTGGCCATAGCTGGCCCATTTGCAGTAACACTGTATAGGTAAATAAATCCGACAATAGAGCCCAGGACAAAAGCAGGATACCTGGATCTTCCAACTATATGCAGAATTTCTGCCTGTTCATCCATACAAGCAAGCCAAAAGGCATTTCTGCATAGGAAGATCCAGGTATATGGTCTTGTACGGACTCCCATAGGGAGCCCCTTTTTGACCCACGGGGGTTCGGTTCGGAAGTCTTCGACCAGTCTACCATAGTCTACCCAGTCGACCGGTTTCGCGAGAGTTCAGGCGGTTGAAAGGCACGTGCCCAGCGTGCCCAAAAGCCCTCCCAGATCAGAAGAGACTGTTGGTGTCTGTAGCTCAGAATGCCAAGGCGGCACATGTCTTTTGATTTCAGAGGCGAAACAGGTAAGGCATAGACACAATGTAATATTCCATATATATGCAATGATTTCAAATCATGTGGATTGGAGAAGAAGGGGCTAGGGTAGGATGATCAAGATCCACAAAGGATATAGAAATGTAGCTGGGTGACTACGGAATGAACATACTACAGGACTGGAGCAAAGGCAATACTGCACTATTGTGCACTGCACAACCAAAGTTGTTCCATTAAAAAAACACAAACACACATCTACATATATACATACATCTACTGTGTACACACCAAAAAAGCTAGAAACGACTTGCTCGGGAGTCTTCCCAAAAGGTGCGGCTAGTCATAAGCAAGCGGCACTTGCAAACAGTCTGGATGCTTTTGCAAATCCATGAGCACGTGCTTGTGCTTTTCCAAAATCTGCCACGGGCGCTGAGTGATTCGATGATCCGCGTCTTTGTTCGGACTCCCTTCTTCATCTTTGGATTGGTTCTCAAGTTCATCCTGATCTTTCAAGTCCACCAAGTTCTGCTTCCTGTGTTGGGTGTCGTTGTCTCCACTGACTTCATCATGAGAAAGGCTCAGTGAAGCAGCGGAGGGCCGGCTGCCATAGGCAACTCCCAAGCATGTTGACACGAGGTACACGTAGCCCAAGCGTCTCATGGAGATTAATGGTACATGGATGGCCTGTGCGGAGCAACAAACGCGGCGTTTCAGCGGAGCCTAGACATATTCTCCTTATAGATATCAAACGTGCAAATGGACCATTTCTTCCGGGTTAAAGAGATTCCCCTCAGCATCTGGCAGTTGGTCTACCTTTCCTGAACAAATATAGTATTTCAAGATATTTCAATCATCCTTCTATGCAAGTTGAGCAGCACCCATGGATGCCGATCTTTTATGTCCCACTTCTGTATCAGGTGTGATTCTACCCATGTCCATGTTGGTTGAACAACGTCGCACACGTGTAACATAACAGATTCCGCTGGCTTCAGGATGTCGCTGGCGGAATGGGCTGGGTAGTGCTAGCTGCTACACACCACCCAACACTTCAGGAAGGGGCAACCCTTCTCAAAGTTTGTTTTGTGGGGCCTGGGGGCCCTGGGGGCCTGGTCACAGGATTCTCTCAAGATCTCTCAAGTCTCCCACCAGCAGGGTCCGGCGGATGCCAGGGGTGGTTTGAGCATTCACATCCAGCTCCAGGCACAAACTTCAATCCCCGGAGGCTCTAAGGACCGGGAATTGGGCTGGTGCCTGCCAACTCATTCACCAAAGAGATGTTTCTTGGAGTTCCGTGATGACTTGCATATCAAATCACTTTCAAATCCAAGAGGAGAGGACCTGACCGGTGTTAGGCCTTTTTCTCTGTTTCAGGCACAAACACCTACGAAACTTCAAGCACTTGAACGGCAAACAGCTGCACAGCTACCGAAACAGCACATCCCTTCGACGAACCCGTTAGCGTGATGTCTTCGACCCTGCGAATCCAAAACCGGTTTCTACGGCTCCATCAACACATCAAACCATGCAATAGACCTCATGCAATGGAGCGCATTCCCTCCAGCAAAACACATCCCATCCATTCCACCCGGCTGACACTTGAGGCCTGACGATTCCGATCACACGGCTGTGCGATGCGCCACTCACGAGCCAGTCACGGCTGCGCCAGTCACGAGCCAATCGTCATGCAACGTCGAAGGAGTCGATTCTAGTTGATTGAGAGGTTCGATATCGTTTGATGGCAGCTTCATGTCCAATATCGGTGGTGAACATATGGACCCACCATCTAAAGACGACATGTAGGGATGCCAGTGCCATCGAACCTCGGATGGCCCACTGTAGTTTTGGTAGAGGAAGTACAACATCCCGACCCTTTCCTGAGGGTTACAAATTACTTATGTTTCTGCCCCCCCCACCCCTGACCCGTTTCGATGGTGCGGGTGGGGGGGTAAGTTACATGTTTGGACCCCCTACAGTAGGTCCTCACCAGAAAATGTAACTTCACTTTTTGAGGTCACCCCCTCCCGGAACCATCATAAGGGAGTAGGATAGTACAACGATTGTACTGAGCATGGTGTAAGCCACTATGGCTGTTCTATCTGAAAAGGATGGGGGAGTGGGGAGGTCTCTGAACTCTTCACCCGTCTTCACCCCCGACCGATTAAACACTCTGTCGCACCAAATCAGGATCAAATCCAATACAGACCTAGTGCCACATCCAATATACCTCCATCAAGACCAATCCCCCCAACCCCCCCCCAACAAAAGCCCCGAAAAGCCCGCGCCGACCTGCGCCTACCTGCGCCCGGACGCCGTGCCCGGCCGTGGATGGGCACGGCATGTTGACCTTCTCGGCTGATTGACGGAATGTGAGGAGCTCGGGTGAGCCACTCAAAAGTTGATGAACTTCGAGAAAGACCCGATGAACTTCACCGTATGGGGTGGGGTGGTGGTGGGGGGCTCAGCTTGGTTTGAAACCGTTGTGTTCACACTTTTTGGAGGCCACAGGTTTCTTGGGGCACGCGGCATCCTTCTCTGCCCTCTCATCCTTCGCACGCTTGGGTCCACAGTGAGATCAAGTGAGATCCGAAAAGCTATCGGGAATCGTCTCAAGTCAGTTCCACTTCGCCACTTCGCTTTCATGAGACCTACAGTACATAAATCCCCCTCCACCAGTAATTACCAGATTCTCCATATTCACCAGGTCTATAAATTTCCCTCTACCTCCTAGGAACTCTACCAGCTTCTGCAAATTTCTGCAACATGCATCTACTCAGTCCACTGATTCCAGTGCCTTTCCACTGGGTGAAACGTGGAAAGCATGGCTTGTCCCTTCAGTCGCAACCATGTGGGGGTCATATGAAAACCAACTTAGACTTGACCCTCAGAATGGCTGCTGGAAGACCTCCGCATCGGTGCAGCATGGCATGCGTTGCTTCGTAGATTCGATATCGAAAGTCTTTCGAATCGTCATGGTCCTTACACTCCTTGAAATAGTCATGGTCACGTGGATGTCTGGCACCTGTTTGCTATTGGGATGTGATCGTCCGAACTGGCGCCATCCACGGTTCCCATGACTGGAAGTCGTGCGATCCACAACGCGAAAACACTGCCGAGTGCAGCAAGGCAGCACTAAGAGTCATACTAATGGATCTTGCACCCCCAACTGCTCTCCAGCTCACAAACTTGGGGGTTCTGGTGGACAACATTAGAAGTTCTAGATGCTTGATGATGTTTGACGTTTTATTCTCTTTAGCTGGCGGGATGTGCAGAAAGGTCATGGGAGGTCCCGTCAGTTCTTGGCAAGGTGTTTGAATAGAGGGTCAAAGCTCCGTTTGATGGATTTCTCTGAAACACAGGTACTGTCGGTTTTTCTGAGATCCTCAGGCTTTCGAGATGACATCGATGAACTGGTACCCGACTTCTCTGTGCCCGACCTCCATCGACCGCCCTCGCGGCGCTCGGAACCGACCTGGGCCGAGGGCAGCGGCGCAAACCACAAGGCGGATTGATGGTCAGGTGGTCGATCCGGTTTTCAGAAGACAAGACAACACAATACACAACAGATTCCTCACTTGCACATGGAATGGGACGGACTTCAGGGTTTGACCAGTTTTGCTTTACAAAGTACATCAAAGTACTAGTGGGCCGTTCGCGAGCATGGGAAATACCACCCGTCTTTTCACAAGCTTGTGCACGGTGGAAGCCTACTTGGTCTCCTGGTGAAACCAGGTGAAACTGCATGTCGAGCTTGTTCAGAAGTGACCTCGAAGGCAGCGGGAGTGCAGGGTTTTATCACCAGATCCTCAGAGTCTTAGTTGTAAGAGTCTGAGAGTCCCCAAGACATCCAATCATCCATGTGGGGGTTGACCAATTCTGTCCAGCAAGTGTGTTACAACAATACAGACTCATCGTAAAAATCAAGCCAAGCCGTGAGAAAGTGTGGCAAGCCTAGTTATCCGAGTGCCGTTTAACAAAAGGCAAATCAGCGTTTGAAAACAAGTGGTGGTGAGAGGGTCACATGACCCATGTAACTTGCAGGGCTTGCTCATATGTATAAGTTATATCTATAGGTGGCGGCTCCTTTTTGCAGCATGACCTTGGCCAGCACCTTTCTGCGATGCGGCCTTGTGTTCTGTACCAGAAAGAAACAGAACCGTGAAAGACCATTCTTTTCAGGCAAGTAATACGAAACCAGATGGGACACAGACTTGCAAGCAGTGGGACATATTCTTGAACCCTGAAATGCAAAATCAAATGACCCATACATTAGATGGGGCCCCGGTGGAGGCGAGGCCCCCCTCATTAAAGGACCTACCACCTGTTTTGTGGAAATTAATCGAGCATACCCCTACCCTTCACTTCAATTATATAATGTTCTATGGATTTTGCTTGGGGGGGCTTACAAACCCCTCAATTAATGTCCACTCCCCCATGTTCCAAACCCCCATCCAGTAATCAAAAATCTCCTCTTTACGTAAGCAGCCACGCTCAAAGACTCTGCCCCAAGCCAAAAAAGTAGTGCCCGTGACTAGAAAGGACTTCGGTGCGTGAGTAATTAGTGTGGTGGCTGCTTTCCTGCCTGGCTTTCCGTGCGGTGGCTACAGTCCTGCCTGGTTTTTGTGGGGCTGGTGACGCATCCCCCTACACTTTCGCCCTCCCGAGGCCAACCCCCCCTGAACTAATTTTTGTTGCCTGGTCCTGCTTTGGCGCCTGCTTTGCTGCCAAATGCCGGTTTCCGCAAAAAATCAGACTCGTTTCCAAGTCCAAGAAACAGCTCAGCGGTGTACAGAATTGTATCGCTGGCTGAGGAACTGAGATTTACACTCCAAACGTGCACACACACACACACATGCATTTGAGATTCAGGCACCAAAAAGAGCATGGACCACTTTATACGAATGAGGACAATTGATGGCCTAACTCATCTTGATCATATTAATTGAGGATTGAGGGGTGTGTAACGTCTCCACGACCACCTCTTGATAATTTCTCAAGTAGACATGACCCTAGCGTGATCCACGGTGCGCTGAGAACATGCATTCATTTAATTTGTCCGACTTGGGCTTTTACCAAACAATTCGACAAATTGTCGGAGAATTAAAACAAGATGGAGCCCACGAACCCGAATGCAAACACGTTCGAACAGTTACATATGTCCAAATGACACTCTTGTAGGACACTCTTGTGGGACACTCTTCTGGGACACTCTTGTAGGACACTCTTGTAGGACACTCTTGTGGGTCACTCTTGTAGGAAACTCTTGCGGGGCACTGTTTTGGGACACTCTTGTAGGACACTCTTGCGGGACACTCTTGTAGGACACTCTTGTGGGACACTCTTGTAGGACACTCTTGTGGGCCACTCTTACGGGGCACTCTTGTGGGACACTCTTGTGGGACACTCTTATAGGACACTCTTGTGTGTCACTCTTATGGGACACTCTCTTGTGAGACACTCTTGTAGGACACTCTTGTGGGTCACTCTTACACGACACTCTTGTAGGACACTCTTTGTGGGACACTCTTATAGGACACTCTTGTGGGTCACTCTTATGGGACACTGTTGTCGGACATTCTTGTGGGACACTCTTGTGACACACTCTTGTAGGACACTCTTGTGGGTCACTCTTACAGGACACTCTTGTGGGACACTCTTGTAGGACACTCTTGTAGGACACTCTTGTGGGGCACTCTTGTGGGACACTCTTGTGTGACACTCTTGCAGGAAACTCTTGTGAGTCATTCTTATGGGACACTCTTGTCAGACACTCTTGGGGGACACTCTTGTGAGACACTCTTGTAGGACACTCTTGTGGGTCACTTGCAGGACACTCTTGTGGGACACTCTTGCGGGAATCTCTTGTAGGACACTCTTATGGGACACTCTCTTGTGAGACGCTCTCGTAGGACACTCTTGTGGGTCACTCTTACACGACACTCTTGTAGGACACTCTTTGTGGGACACTCTTATAGGACACTCTTGTGGGTCACTCTTATGGGACACTCTTGTCGGACATTCTTGTGGGACACTCTTGTGACACACTCTTGTGGGACACTCTTGTGGCTCACTCTTACAGGACACTCTTGTGGGACACTCTTGTAGGACACTCTTGTCGGACGCTCTTGTGGGACACTCTTGTGTGACACTCTTGTAGGAAACTCTTGTGGGTCATTCTTATGGGACACTCTTGTCGGACACTCTTGGGGGACACTCTTGTGAGACACTGTTGTAGGACATTGTGGGTCACTTGCAGGACACTCTTGCGGGAATCTCTTGTAGGACACTCTTGTGGGACACTCTTGTGGGACACTCTTGTAGGAAACTCTTGTGGGACACTCTTGTGCGACGGGCACTCTTGTGGGACACTCTTGTAGGACACTCTTGTGGGACACTCTTGTAGGATACTCTTGTGGGACGCTCTTGTAGGACACTCTTGTGGGACACTCTTGTAGGAAACTCTTGTGGGATACTCTTGTAGGACACTCTTAAGGGACGCTCTTGTGAGACACTCTTGTTGAACACTCTTGTGGGACACTGTTGCGGGACACTCTCGTGGGACACTCTTGTGGGACACTCTTGTGGGACACTGTTGTGGGACACTCTTGTACGAAACTCTTGTGGGACACTCTTGTAGGACACTCTTGTGAGACACTCTTGTAGGACACTCTTGTGGGACACTCTTGTGGGACACTCTTGTAGGACACTCTTGTGGGACACTCTTGTAGGGCACTCTTGTGGGACACTCTAAAAGGACACTCTTGTGTGTCACTCTTCTGGGACACTCTCTTGTGAGACACTCTTGTACGACACTCTTGTGGGTCACTCTTACACGACACTCTTGTAGGACACTCTTTGTGGGACACTCTTATAGGACACTCTTGTGGGTCACTCTTATGGGACGCTCTTGTCGGACATTCTTGTGGGACACTCTTGTAGGACACTCTTGTAGGACACTCTTGTGGGACACTCTTGTAGGAAACTCTTGTGGGACACTCTTGTAGGACACTCTTGTGGGACACTCTGATCGGACACTCTTGTGGGACACTCTTGTAGGATACTCTTGTGGGGCGCTCTTGTAGGACACTCTTGTGGGACACTCTTGTAGGAAACTCTTGTGGGATACTCTTGTAGGACACTCTTAAGGGACGCTCTTGTGAGACACTCTTGTGAGGCACTGTTGCGGGACACTCTTGTGAGACACTCCTGTGCGACGGACACTCTTGTGGGAGACTCTTGTAGGACACTCTTGTGGGACACTCTTGTCGAACACTCTTGCGGGTCACTCTTGTGGGACACTCTTGTGGGACACTCTTGTAGGAAACTCTGGTGGGATACTCTTGTAGGACATTCTTAAGGGACACTCTTGTCAGACACTCTTGGGGGACACTCTTGTGGGACACTGTTGCGGGACACTCTCGCGGGACACTCTTGTGGGACACTCTTGTAGGACACTCTTGTGGGACACTCTTGTAGGACACTCTTGTGGGTCACTCTTGTGGGACACTGTTGTGGGACACTCTTGTAGGAAACTCTTGTGGGACACTCTTGTAGGACACTCTTGTGAGACACTCTTGTAGGACACTCTTGTGGGACACTCTTGTAGGGCACTCTTGTGGGACACTCTTGTGGGACACTCTTGCAGGAAACTCTTATGGGACACTCTTGTAGGACACTCTTGTGGGACACTCTTACGGGACACTCTTGTGGGACACTCTTGCAGGAAACTCTTGTGGGACACTCTTGTAGGACACTCTTGTGGGACACTCTTATAGGACACTCTTGTGGGACACTCTTAAGGGACACTCTTTTGAGACACTCTTGTGGGACACGGTTGCGGGACACTCTTGTGGAACACTCTTGTGGGACACTCTTGGGACACTCGTGTCGCGACACGGTCTGCCCACACACTAGAAGCAGTCACGCGAGCGTTTCGTACGAGACTTCCTCCTAAAGTCACGCTTCGAGGCTGCAAGACGAGCGTTTCGTTCGAGACTTCCTCCTAAAGTCACGCGTCAAGTCTCCAAAACGAGCGTTTCGTACGAGACTTCCTCCAAAAGTCACACGTCAAGTCTCCAAAACGAGCGTTTCGTACGAGACTTCCTCCAAAAGTCACGTGTCAACTCTCCAAAACGAGCGTTTCGTACGAGACTTCCTCAAAAACCCACGTGTCAAAGTCTCCAACACAAGCGTTTCGTACGAGACTTCCTCTAAAAGTCAAGCGGAAACACCCATCGGAGCACACACATCACGCAGCCCTGCCAAGCAGTTTCGCGATTCCAGCCCCTCCAAACAACACCCGCTCACACGCCAATCCCAATGAGACAACGACAGTCACCTCTACCACAACTCACAACCTCACGATTCCCTGCGCCTGCCACGCATCTTTCCGCGTCCACACGTCTAACGCGCGCAAAGTACTGCGCCTGCCACGCAATGTCACCTCCGTCACACCTCGCAACCTCACGATTCCCTGCGCCTGCCATGAAAATCACACTTCCACGCCTCAAAACCCGCACAAAGTACTGCGCCTGCCATGAAAAGTGACAATATCATCTCATGTGAGCTTCAACAAAATTTGCACCACACCACACGTTTGGAATGATTTCGACACATTCTGAGCACACTCCCATCCACCAAAATCGGCATTTCAGCTGAGACTTGTCACGAAAACAGAGCTTCGATGCCACACCCTGAAACGCAAATCCCAATGGCACGGCCACATCCAACACCCCAAACACACGACTCTCCAAACGCTAATTCCAATGGAACTGCGACGCAAACTGCGGATCTCACGAAGCGCTGCGCCTGTGCAGCGAAATGCATCACGCTTCTTGCGCGACATGTGTTTTTCACGCAAATCCCAATGGACTCGCGTCGCAAACTCACACGTGACACATCCATGCATAGTCACTTGCAAAAGCTTCCCCCAATGGCAGCGCCTTAGCGCTCTACTGCGAACGGTTGCGGACGGTTGCGGACGGTTGCGGACGGTTGCGGACGGTTGCGGACGGTTGCGAACGGTTGCGGACGGTTGCGAACATAGAAGCAACGGGTCGCGAACAAAGCTCCACCCCCAGACCCCCAAGAGTTAAACGAGAACCCTTCGCTACGCATTCGGGAAAAATGAGAAAATGTAATTCGTAGGTCACCCACTCCTCCAATTAACTTTTTAGTGGACGGGTCAGAACATCAAATGTATAATTTGTGAATATGTGTGATTATCCGACACTGAAGCGTCAATGATCACATCTGCATGAGATATTGAATCTAGCTTCTTCGGCTTCTGGTTGATCTCTTGTGGCTTCTAAAAAGCCCCCCCCCAAAAAAAAAAACAAAAAAAAAACAATCTCAGTGTTCACTGGTGCCACTGTCTGATGACTTCACACACCCGGCAGAAGCTGTCTGGATTGACGTGGGACACCTAAGACTGAAGAACATGTCACATCACATCCTCTGAAAGCTTTGACGCTCCAGAACTCGCCCAGAAGTCCTTTGTCGAGACGCCATGAAGTCCTGAAAGCGGCGCCCCACCCACGTGGTGTAGAAGAAGCTCTGGCCTGGCAATGATCTGGTCAGCTTGTTCAGATCTACCTGAAACACCTATATCCAAGACAACCAATGTCTGTCAAGACCACCATTCAGAGCTACCTGAAACATCTACCTGCTACCTGAAATGTGTCCTATTTCTGTCCTTTTATGCTCTTTACAAGACAACCAATGCCAAGATCAGTTTCCAGCACCCGTGTGGCCGAATGCTGAACCAAGACCTACCATATCACTGCATCCGAATTCGACCTCCAAGACCTACCAGGCCGCAAGCCACCTCTTTGCGGCCCTTTTGTGCGACGCCCCCAGTTGAGTCCAGGTCTGCAACAATACAGACTCATCCTGTAAATCAAACAAAGTGTGTCTGTAAAGTGTGGGAAGTTTAGCTATCCAAGTGCAGTATAACAAAAGGCAAACCTGAAAACAAGTGGTTGTAAGAGGGTAGCATGACCCATGTAACTTGCTCAAAAACCTATGCATGTGCCTTGGAGTGTCAATGACTCTCACTTATTACCCCTGCATGAGATATTGAATTCCCCTTCTTGGGTTTGTGGGTGATCTCTTCTTGTAACATCTGAAAAAAAAAAGGAAAACAATCTCAGTGGTCCTTGGTGTCACTGCACCCTCTATCAAATCAAGGGTTGAAAACTATGAAGGCAGCAAGAGAAGTGAAGTGCCTCTTGACTTTAAGGATCGATGCTGTACCAAACCAACCCTTCGAGTGATCCCCACCCTGAAAGAAGGCAGACTAGGAAGAAGGCAGGGTATATGTATTGACAGACTAGCCGGACAAAGACATGCGGATTGCCGTCAATCCAAGCCTCACCTGACAGGTGGGGAACAAAAGCCATCTGGAGTCTCAACCCAGGACACCCAGGAACATGTCAAATCGTCTGAAAGGTTTGAGCCCCAAGAAGACCGCCCACTTCGCCCTTGTCGACAAGGCACGTGTCCGACGTGTCTGCTTCATCCGTCCTGCTGGGCTCATCCATCCTGGCAGCGATCGAAAACGCTGAAAACACCTGGAGACCTGGAGACCTGTCTGACCTTTCGATCCCTGGTGATGAGTTTCTCAGCTCAACAGACCAGGGCAAGATCAGTTCAAACACACCTCAGGTCGAGCTACAGATCCACCACTCTCACGCCCAGCGCGAACCGTGCCGATCGACCACTCTCCGGCCGATGAAGGTGAGAGCCGAGAGATGGGGAATAGGCCACCGACCGTGAAAATCTCTCGTGCAGTAGGGGAGTAGTCCTACCTCATCTATAGTGGTTGGTGGCATCTTACCAAAGAACAAGTCATAACAAATCTAATAATAGACGTTCTTAATAGCAGCAAGTCTATGGAGGATCATGTGCCGATTGGGGCCACAAAAGAAATCCAATCATGATGATCTTGATTGGATCTCCAGTGGCTGTGCAACACCCTGCGATCAGTGAACGTCCCTGAATCTTGCAATGAAGTTTGACCATAATGTACCAAGACGCCCTGACTCCAACAAAACACCAAATGACTGACCCCAACGCCTTAGGTCTAGAATCTAGGAAATGCAAAAACTTCTTGTCCTTTCTCCTCATCTTGGTCGAAACTCATGGCTTAATAACAATCCCAACTTGGATCGGCTTCGCTCCGGGAGAAACTCCAACACCGTGAGGCCTCAACTCCAGCTGCCTTTGCCTGGCTCGACGTGAACGTCGGCTGCGAACCCCAGAAGTGGGCACCATGGACACTCTGTCTGACT